ATATATCTATTTAAACTCGTTCTGTTTTCTAAAATTACATTTTCACTGGCACCTAAATTTTATTAATAGAAATTCACTGCTCTGAAAAGCCACCTATGCAGTTGAAAACAGAGGTAGAGAAATGAAGCAACAAATAATTTTGACATATTTGTTATTGATTTTAAGATTTTAAGATTCAAATGTATGTTTTCTTTGTTTATTTTGTGGATTCAGATTATCCAGTTATTTGGATCCCCTCTGTACTTCTCTGTTAGTAAATGAATTGGACCCTTATTAGTGAGAGACAGATGAAAGCTAGTGACCGGCTGCAAAATTGGTCACGTGTAAAATTAATGGAAACTGCCTTTGCCTCTCAAGTAAAAGTTGAAATATGTCAAAGTTCTCCTGTTATCAAAGAAGCATTATGTACTCAAGGACTAATTGGAAAGCAATTGAGGACCAGGAAGAACTAGAGAAAAAATAAAGGCAGTTTTCGGCTAATGTACTTATTAGTCACGTACTAGTTTTCCATGAAGGAGCTCCAAGTTATTGTTAAAGACTTGCTTCATTAATTTTCACTTTGCCCTTCAAGATAGAGTTTGAAAACGTAGGTAATTTTCTTGCCTCTCTTTCTTCATTGCCTTCTACTCTGACTCAGTTTTACATTTCTATGTTCATACCCCCATACTTTGTCATCACCAAGAAATCCTCCCTTCCATAACTTCAGTCTTAGGCACCCATCTCTTGAGTTCACATCCCTATTTTTCTAGCTCAGTCCTGGTTCTCAAACCCCACAACAGTCTGCCCTCCTTATTGTCACCTACAAGTCCTTGATTTTACTACCTTTTTCCCTGTTCATGGATCCCTCTTTACCTCCTTTCCTTACCCTGTTTCAGTCCCAAGGTCAATCATAAACATCTGTTAGCATGGACTATTGTAGTGGATAAGCACTGATGGCTAACTGCAAGGTTGGTGGTTCAAACCCACCGGGCACTCCTTGGAAGCCCTATATAGGGTTGCTATGAGTTGGAACTATACCCTTAACTCATGTACCTCCTCTATTTTTGGTAAGACCCTGGTTAAGTCTAACGCTCTACAGTTGAGTATGGTTGAGTTGCTCACTGTTCGTGATCTCTGGGTTCAAGTTGGACCTTTTCTATTGCCCAATGATCATACTATTTTCCCTCCTGCCTTCTACTTTCTTAGGTGATTATCTCAATGCTTTCATCTCTCTCCTCAGACATTCCACTTTTACTGATGTTCTTGCTTTCTGTTTTATGAGACTATAGAAGAAATGAGAAGAGAAACCCCATGTGCTCCTCCCAACATATTTCTCTTCCTGGCTATTCTGGAGCCATATTACATTACCTATTGCTGTATTATTTGTGTTCCTAAGGACAGTTCTTCCACTTGTGTAGTAGATTCAGATTTCATCTTTCTAATATATTATTCCCTTTAGCTGATAAACAGCTATAATTTTGTCTTTTTTTTTTTTTAAACCCTTCTTTCCCACACTTTCCCCATCTACCACCCTAATTTCTTTCTTCTCTTTTTTATCAAGACTTAAAGGAAGAGTTGTTCATGCTCACTCTTCTCAATTCTTTTCCGTGGTCAGGGCATTGCTTTTCCTTAACTCAGGAGGAAACATTTGCATGTGTTCCAGGGAGTACCATTCACTTAAAATAGGATTTAGTGGTGGTCATTCACTTAAAATAGGATTTTAGTTGTGGACTAAATATCTTAAACCAACTTCAGTTAGGCATTTGTCCTTACTACCCTACCAAAAAGGTGCTCTGGTAGCGTAGTGGTTACGAGTCGGCCTGCTAACCTCAAGGTCAGCAGTTTGAAACTTATCAGCTGTTTCACAGGAGAAAGATGAGGCTTTCTGCTCCCATAAAGATTTATAGCCTCGGAAACTCAGTACAGTGTCTCTGTAAGTCAGAATCGACTCCCAGCACACCACTGCCACCATTACCACCACCTTACCAAAACTTCTGGAGGTCCCTGATATTCACCATGTGACCATATCTAGTGTTCACCTTAATGCTCATGTATCTTGATCTATCGAGAGCACACAACACAGATGATCTCTCCTTCTACTTTCAAACACTTGTCTCCACTGAGCTTCGATGACACTACATTCTGCTGTGTTTCTTCCTCTTTTGCTAGTTCCACTGCACTTTCATGAACTCTGAACTTTCTCATCCCTTGGAATCATTCCTTAGACCTTTTTCCTTCTTCATATGCACTCACTTCCTTGGTGACCCCTTCAGTCATAGTATATTAAAAATATGCAAGCTAACAATTTTCAAATTAGACTGTTATTCTTGTTATTGTTAAGTGACATTGAGTCAGTTCCAATCCATAATGACCCTGTATAGGGTATCTGAGGAGAAGCTAGAGAGCTTAAACCACTGATCTTGTGGTTCAAACTGACCTTGCAGAACACAGCAGCACACCAGGACTGTTGGTTGGCCATTCAAAATCACATCTCCAAAATCAAATGCTTGATTCTTCGAAAGTTTCCCTTTCTCAGTAATGGCAACTCTGTATTTCTAGTTGTTTAGGCCATCCGTGATTCCTCTCATTCTCTCACATTCCATCATCTGATCTGTTAGCAAGCCTCAAATCTACCTTTGAAGCATATCCTTAATCTACTGTTCCCCAATTCTGTTGTTGTTACTTCTCATTTCCCACCTGTCTTCTACTTATTCCCCCTCCCTGTCATTCCACCATCTTTTCTCAACATAGCAGCCAGATGAATGTTTTTTTCAAAGTTTTTATTGTGAATTGAGTGATAGTTTACATGGAAGAACATCAGTTCTACATTCATCCTGTCACATTTTATTTAATTGCAATGATTACAATCCCCTCCATGCATTGCCAGATGAATCTTTTAATATATTAGTCAGACTGTACCACTTCTCTGTTCAAAACTTTCCAAAGGCTTTCTGCCTCATGCAGTCTAAAAGTCAAAGTCCATATAATATCCACAGACCCTATGTGATTGATCTTCCCTTATTCTCTGACTTTATTTTTTCTTATCTTCTCCTTCATTCCTAGCCCTACTGCCCTACTTGATGTTCCTCCAACACTCCAGTCATGCATCTCCTGTCCTAGGCCTTGGTCCTTCCCTTCATCTGGAATTCTTTTTCATTGATATCCAATTGGATCATTCTTTTGCCTCATTCCACTTCAGGTTTTGCTCTGATGCCCCCTTTCCCAATAAGTTCAACCCCCAAATTCTCCTTTTCTTCTGGGCCCTTGCTATTATCCTCTTCTGCTTTTTTTTTTTTTTTGCCTTGACATTTAATGAACATCTAACATGTGCTGCATTTTTATATGTTTGATGATTTTTTTCTTACTGGAATGCAAACTCCATGAACACAGAGAGGGATATTCTTTTGTTTTCCTTCATAGTACCTAGAAGGTGTTATCTCTTAATAAGCATTGAATAAATATTTGTTGAATAAGTAAATGAATGGAATGATTTCTATTCACTTAAAACTTAGTGCTAGACTAATTTATAAAATCCCAAGGGAAAAATGATTTTTAAGGAAATTTTAGTGTGACTTAAAATAGTAGATGCTTTTCTAACAAACACTTTACCCAGAGTGCTTTTATGAGTTTACATTGTAGAAATTTACACTTTTAGCTCATATCTCTATGCTGTGTAAGTAGAGCAATGTGTCTCTCTTTGATAGGTTTGCACACTTACCTGCCTTTTTAACATGCCTCTGTAGACATGAACGCTACAATACGAAGGATTGACCAGTTAACCAACATCTTGGCCCCCATGGCTGTTGGCCAGATTATGACATTTGGCTCCCCAGTCATTGGTTGTGGCTTCATTTCGGGATGGAATTTGGTGTCCATGTGTGTGGAGTACTTTTTGCTCTGGAAAGTTTACCAGAAAACTCCTGCTCTAGCTGTGAAAGCTGCTCTTAAAGTAGAAGAAGCTGAATTGAAACAACTGAATTTACACAAAGGTAAGCTTAACAAAATGACCAATCTGTATATTCAGATGTTGAGACCGTAAATGCTGAGACTGTAAAGACCAAAACTATGTTGACTTTGCAGCATGTTTTATTTCTACTCAAGGTCTGTATCAAGTTGAATGATCAAGTCTGTTCCACGAGGCAAAGCTCAGACTTTAGCAGATATGAGAAACAAGTTATTTGTTGATTCTGAAGGGAGTGGAATGGGACTCTATTTTCTTTGATGTTTTGTTGTAGACCCAGAGGGGTGACTAGTTTAGGGATATCAGGGAAAAGTTGAGTCATAAGAATGGGAAGAACAATAGAAAAAGAGAAGAGAATTCCTAGGAATCATGAAGGAGTCATTAGATGGCCATTTGTTGGCATTGGTAAGACTGAAAGTGAGTGAGGGCATAAATGTGGATGTTTCCTAAAAAAAGAAGAGGAGATTATGGACAGATGGAATCTTAGCAAAGCCCTAGAAAATAAGAAACAGTATTTTCCTGGATTTAACTATTTTATATTTCATCTTTGGAGTCCTGGTTTGGCACTGTAGGATAAGCACTGGACTGCTAGCTACAAGGTCAGTGGTTCAAACTCACCAGCCACTCCTCAGAAACCCTGTATAGGGTCACTTTATGAGTCAGAACTGACTCGATTGCACTTAACAACAACAACGTATTTTATCTGATGAGTTTTCCTGCTAATTACTTTGGTAGGAGTATAATTTCTAAAAGAGAAGGGAAGGGACAGAAAGGAGAAAGGAGAGGGAAAAATAGAATATGAATCAATTGTAATGTATTTGTTATTTGGAGATTGTACCTGGCTGGAATTCTCAGATTGGTGGTAAAAGACATGATGCAGTAACCCAGGGTTCACATGGAGAAAGTGGAGAAGAGAAGAAAATATGTGAAGATGACTGACTCGTTGATTAATGTTTCATGCTTTCAAAATGATGTCTCTTTATTAACAGATACTGAGCCAAAACCCCTGGAGGGAACTTGTCTAATGGGTGAGAAAGACCCTACCAACCTTGAGCATGAACGTGAGCAAGAGCCCAACTGTGCCTCTCAGATGGCTGAGCCCTTCCGCACCTTCCGAGATGGATGGGTCTCCTATTACAACCAGCCAGTGTTTCTGGCGGGCATGGGTCTTGCTTTCCTTTATATGACTGTCTTGGGCTTTGACTGCATTACCACAGGGTACGCCTACACTCAGGGGCTGAGTGGCTCCATCCTCAGTATTTTGATGGGAGCTTCAGCCATAACTGGAATAATGGGAACTGTGGCTTTTACTTGGCTCCGCCGAAAATGTGGCCTGGTTCGGACTGGTCTGATCTCAGGATTTGCCCAGCTTTCCTGTTTGGTCTTATGTGTGATCTCCGTATTCATGCCTGGAAGTCCCTTGGACTTATCTGTTTCTCCTTTTGAAGACATTCGTACTAGGTTCATTCAAGGAGAGCCACTGCCCACTATTACACCGACAGAAATACCTGAAGTCATCTTTACAACTGAAATGCACATTTCAAATGGGTCTAGTCCTACTAATATTGTTCTAGAGACGAATCCTAAACCTGTACCTATAATCTCTGTCAGTCTGCTGTTTGCAGGTGTCATTGCTGCTAGAATTGGTAAGAAATTTTTTTTTTTTTTGCATATTAATGAACTAACATATCATGTTAGCACGTGGGTAGAGATAATTCACTAATAAATGATCCTAGTGTGGTACTGTAGGATAAGCAGTGGACCACATAGTTGGTTTGAACTGCAAGGTCAGTGGTTCAGAATCACCAGCCGGTCCTCAGGAACCCTATACAGAGTTGCTATGAGTCAGAACCAACTCAGCTGTACTCAACAACAACCATAATGATATTCCCTTGGATGTTAATGTAAATAAATTCATTATTTACATTTATATATTATTGGTGTTAATAAAATCTTAATTATGAATTTTTAATTTTATAATGAAAACTGTGTTTTATGTATTAAACATACACATATATATATATTTTTGGACTATATGTATATATGGAGTCCTTTGAAGCTGTAAGATAAGCACTGGACTGCTAACTGCAAAGTTGTAGTTCAAATCCACCAGCTGTTCCTCAGAAACCTATACAGAGTTGCTGTGAGTCAAAACTGATTCCATGACATTTAACAACAGCAACAACATATACACAGATGTTTTCTTAAAACATATTTATGGCTTGAGAATATTTTCTAAATGAGCATTTTAGGTATATTCTTATTTAATTCATTATTTAAAAAGATATTAGCTATAATGACTATACTGGCATGTGGCATTTTAGAGCCTTTATTGCTGTAACTCTACCAAAAGAACTGTAATTTAGAGACTATTTTTATGGGATGAGGTAAAAACCATACTGTTTTTGGCTTTAAAAAAAATGACTTAGTAGTTAGACTAAAAAACATCAAAGGTGCTCTATCACTGATGTGCATTATATTCTTTGTCATACAAATGGATTTTATAGCTGTGCAAGGAAACTTAGTGTAATGACTTCTTACAAAGCAAAATTTGAGTAATCATTAATAGAGTACTGATGAATTATCTCTGGCCAAATTCTTTTCTTGAACTGAAACCATATTTATCTTGTGATACAAAGCACGTTCATTAATTTATCAAAGACATTAACATTGAAGCAAGACAGTTTTATTGTAGGGGCTTTAGAACCCAAGCAGTAAATGTAATAATGGTTTAAAGTTTCCTTACACTTTAACCATAACAGTCTATTCGTTTCATTCATTTTTAAGATTTCAAAATGCTAGTACTTAAACAACAGGATTTATTATGCTTCTGATTTTAGAGTTGTACTTTTGTAGTCTAAGTAATCACAGGAAAACAATTTAAAAGTTTGTAGATTAGGGACTCAAAACCACTTCTTGGAGTCATTAATAACCCAGGATTTAGAAATGAAAATAATTTTCTAGGCAAGGTTGTGATTAAAAGTATATAATGTGCCTTTAAGGTAGCAAGGCCAAGATCTGTATTTGGCATAGTTCTAAAGTTTATGCCTACAAATCTGAAATGTATGGTTATAAATTAGCATTCAATCTTTTAAAAGGTTATCTTTTTTCTTTTTAATAGGTCTTTGGTCTTTTGATTTAACTGTGACACAGCTGCTGCAAGAAAATGTAAATGAATCTGAAAGAGGCATTATTAATGGTGTTCAGAATTCCATGAACTACCTTCTTGATCTTCTGCATTTCATCATGGTTATCCTGGCTCCGAATCCTGAAGCTTTTGGCTTGCTCGTATTGATTTCAGTCTCCTTTGTGGCCATGGGCCACATTATGTATTTCCGATATGCCCAAAAAACTCTGGGCAACCGTCTCTTTGTTTGTGGTCCTAACGAAAAAGAAGTCACGAATGAAATTCAAACTAACACATCTGTTGTGTAAGAAGTTTAACTGTTGCTTATCCCTGTTACTAGATTAAATAGAGCACATGTGCCTATTTTATACTTTAAAGTTCCTATAAATTGTTGGGTGTTCCTCTCTAGTTTTACCACAGCTATACCCTAAGGGCTAAAATCGGTTTAAGAAATGTAAGTCAGCAGAAATGAGCTGGCTGATTTCCTTTACATTTAGAGATGGAAAAAATATTAGAAAAAACAAAAGCTCACTTTATATGTGGAAAATAAAATGACAACACCAAGTTTCTCTGCTTCTCATGAGCAGATAAAATTTTCCATAAAAGTGATTAGTTATGTGAATTAAATTATTCTTTGGTAGATATTTATTATCTGTCTTAGAATTTGGATATGTCTATATTTTCTCTAAAACTCACACTTGTTTAAGTCAATTTATTTTTTTGGTATCATTTATATATTAATAAATTGTGCTCCAAGTATGAAGACTAAAGTTGGATAACCAGTATTAGCCTTACTGATCCTGTTGATCTTAAGGGAATTATATTGTTTGTGGGAAAGCTAAGTATTAGAATTCTCTAATAGGGCTTAGAGCTTAAATTATGGAAGCACCTTCATATTTTTATCATATAGGCCAAAATATCTTAATAAGCATATGTAACGTTTCATAAAATGGCTATAGCTAGAAGAAAAACTGTAAAGTAGATTTATAACACAGTGGCTATATAAGAAATTTAAATATGCCTGTAGTTTTCAAATATCACATGCTAATAGTTTGGCCATAGAAATTGGAATTCACACAGAAGAATGAGATCCAAATTTAAATAATTACTGACCTACTCTGTCTTGGAAAAGAAGAAGTCTCAAGCCTGGAAAGTTAAATACAGAAAGAAAGTCCACACTTAGAAAGGTTTTATTTTCTAAATCATATGATTTACTTTTAACACACTCAGCAGTTTTACTTTTACTGTTTTGTACCCAGGAGTTGTTTTTACATAGTTATAAAGCAAGAATGTTCATAAATGTGTTTCTTCCAAAAGTCTTTGTGAAGAATGGAAAAAAAGAAAAAAACTTTTTGTATGTATTTTTAAAACTGTTTTACAAATCATTTTGCAACCGACCTGTACCGATGTGGTACTTTGCCTTAACTGTTTATGCACTTTCATGGAGACTGCAATACGTACGTTGCTGTGAGCACTTTCTCTGTCATTGAAGTGTAATCTTTTCCTTCTTTCTACAGTATGACATGATGATTTGCTATGTTGTAAAATATTTCTATATAAAAATATTTTTTAAATCCTGATTTCTTTTTTTCTTTTATTCCTCCTCATGTAACAATTGCTTTTGTTACAGGACATCTTTTGTTCTATATGATATTTTATTCTTTAAAAAGTAGTTTCATAATAGTTCATCATTTTTAGTGCCTTTTATTTCTATTTGTAGTTTTTGGTGGCCTGGATACAAGTGTGGTGTCCCTGAAGCCCATAAAACCAACTCTACCTAACTCAAAACTTTCCTGATTGTATCAAATAAGACAGCAGGAAATACTTTGTGAACTGCAAGACAGCTGAGGTCATGTTACTAAAGGTTTGGCTCTAGGTAATGGACCCTTTCAGCAGGCTAGAGCCTGCTGATACTCCAGAGGCATATTTACTAAAGATCTGATCTATGACCTGGAAGCAGATACGACTGGTAGTTGATTAAAGGCTCATTCCCCTCCCCCCCCCCAAATTGGGAGCTTGTGAACTGTGGTATCTCTCTGCAGTTCATGACTTTGGGGGAGACAGAGAGGCCTCTCTTGTTTGGCTGCAGTCTTGAATGGGTCAGCTGCTCTCTCCCACAGGGCTCTAGCTGAGGTTTGAGATCTGCTGAGTGTTTACAGCTGTAATTGAAGCCTGTGGTCTAGTAAAATGAGTGGAATCATATCCTCAGCTCCTAATATAGGCATTTTGCTAGACCAGGCCTAGAGAGAAAAAGAGACCCAGGGAAAAAGGAAGGAGATAGAGTTGGAAAGGTAATAGGAATTTTTATAGCTGCTACCCAGAGCTACACAGAGCAGGAAGATGAGGGAAGTGGAGGAGAAACTGCTGATCTAGACAGCTTTTGTGTTTACTGCCCCAGGGAAGTAGGGCAGGGGTATTTGATTTGTGTGCCTGTATCTGGATGCATTTCTAAAGAACCCCATTACTGTTCAGTCAATTCCAACTAACCGAGACCTCATGTGACAGAGTAGAACTGCCTCACAGGGATTTGAGGGCTGTAAATCTGTATGAAAGCAGACAGCCACATTTTTTTCCCAGCAGAGCAGCTACGGGGTTCAAATGTTTAACCACTGTGTCACCAGGGTTCCTCCCATGTGTCTAAATAGGAGGCACAAACTCAAATACCGAATATCCACAGATGATTAGAAATGACAAAAGTAGGTTAGATGCATGAAAATTTTATTTAGTAAGAAATTACATTTCATGAAAGTATCATTCATTTAGTTTGTTCCCACTTAAAAAGTCCATTCATTATATTCCTTCCTGCTTTTTTGATTCCATGCAGGCTTCTTATGATTATCAATTGTTTGTTTTTTGCTATAGATGCCTTTTGTTTGAATATTGAACTAGTCATCATTTTCACAAAGAAATAGAACTACTTCCATTTTTCTTGAAGCACATGGTTTGCTTGATCTACCTACCTTTTGTCCCCCCCACCACACACACACTTCAGAAACTTAGAGCTAAGTGTATAGTAAGAAATTACTTACCTATTTACCATAAGACAAATGTAGTACAAGAGCTATGCTACGTGGTACGTGGCACGGAAAGTTCTGTTGGGGAGGTACCAGTGTGGTTGGGGTGTAGAGAACTGGTGGGTACATGCCCAGGAGAAAGAGGCAGCTGTAGGCAATTACAGTTGAGCTACAGGAACATGGACCCTGTGTTAGATCTTTTCATTTTTAAAGAGATGTTGGGAATCTAGAATTTTGTATGAAATCTTCAGATTCTTAAAGGCTGGTTTGAAAATGCGAAAAACATTTTGCTGGCCAAAGTACATGTTTTGTTGGGTAAAGGCTATCTGCAGGCTGTCAATGAGCCACCAATGGGTTGTCAGTTTTTTGAGCTTTGGGCTAAAGGAATGGTTTGTAAGCAGAATGGTAGTGAATAAAGTAAATAAATGGAGTCCTGGTGTGATGCTATAAGATAATACACTGGACCAAAAGGTCAGTTTGAACCACAAGGTTGGCAGTTCAAACTCATCAGCCACTTCTCAGAAACCTTATACAGGGTCGCTATGAATCGGACCCAACTCGACAGCACTTTACAACAACAAAGTTAGTAGCTATAGGAGAAAAAGAGGTGCATGTAGAATTGAGGAGTCAGAAGAACCAAAAAGATCTAGGCAAAATGCTTTTTTTTTTTAACTTTGTGTTGTGAATTGGGTGAAAGTTTATAGAGCAGATACGTTTTACATTCAACAGTGAATATGTATTGTGTTTCATCTAATTGATTTCAGTCCCCTCAATGCCACAATACTCTCCCACTCTTTCCCTGTGTTTCCTGTTTTCATTCCTCCATTTTGTCTTTGGGCAAATGCTGCCCCTTTGATCTCAAAAGCTTGATTATTCTAAGGACTGCATACCTCCCTAGTGTTATTTGTCCCCTCATAGACTTCTCTATACAGGGTTGCTATGAGTGGGAACTGGGCTCTAGGGCACTTAAAAACATTATTTGGCAGAACATTGAGCTGGGGGTCGGTAAGCTCATTTCCAGACCTTAAGGGTGAATAAAGGTCATAGTCTTCGGAATACCACCAGTCTCTCTTTTTTTATGATTTTGAATTTTGTTCCACATTTTTCTTCCACTGTATCTAAGACCTTCTAATGTGATCCCTTTCAGTGCAGTTGGTAGTGGTAACCAGGCACCATCTAGTTCTTCTGGTCTCAAAGCCATGGAGATTAATGTTCACATGGTCCATTAGTCCATTGGAATAATTGTTTCCATGCATCTTTGATTTTCTTCACTCGTTCTTCTGGATATGGAGAAACCAATAGTTGCACCTTAGATAGCTACTCAGAAGCTTTTAAGACCATAGTTACTACTCACTACAGTAGGATGTAGAACACTGTCTTTCTGGACTGTTACGCTAATTCAACTTGGTGTTCCCTGAGGTCATGGTCTTGAGTCCTCAAGCCCAGTGACTCATTCCTTCAAGTGGTAAACACATTTTTTGTTGTTAAAAATGTTAAGCTGTAAGACATTTACTAGAGAGCAAAAACCAAAAACCAAACTGCCATGGAGTCAGTTTTGATTTTTAGTGACGCTATAGACCAGAGTAGAACTGCTCCCTTGGCTTTCTGAGGAGATAAATATGGAATAGACTGTCTCACCTTGTTTCCATGGAATGGCTGGAGGGTTTGAACCACTGACCTTGTGGTTAGCAGCCCAATGCTTAACCCTCCACACCTTAGGACCCCTTCATTTAAGGTCAAATAGCCTGTACATTTGTTGTGTATCATCCAGTCAGTTCCGACTCATAGCGACCTTATATAGGGTTTCTGAGGAATGGCTGGTGGATTTGAAACTCTGACCTTGTGGTTAACAGTCCAGTACTTATCCTACAGTGCCGTGCTGTATAATGCAAATGCAAATTCTGTCACATAATTTCCTTAATCTAGGAGTCCTGATAGGATAGTGGTGACACTGTGGGCTACTAACCAAAAGGTCAGAAGTTAGAATCTACCAGTCGCTTCTCAGAAGAAAGATGAGGCTTTTAGATTTACAGCCTTTGAAACCCTGTTCAGGATTGATATGAGTCCACCACCACATGTTGCTTGTACCATCGGATACAGGGGTGGGGAATGTCCAGCCCTTATAAGGCCCGCAAAGTCATTTGGTCTGGCTTTCCCAAGGCCAACTGCAGTTTCAGCCATCCAAATATAGCAGGTAACTTTTAAGTTGATAATTTTGTATGGCCCATGAATGATGTTATAAATATCCATATGGCCCTTGGCAGAAAAAAAGGTTCCCACCCCTGGACAGGCTAAGGATGGTTTTAAAGCAAACAAACAAACTTTTAAAATCTGTCTAAATTATATAGTGCACTATTGTTTTGAAAAAGAAAGTACAGAATTTTGGAGTCAAAATTTCTTCC